GAATCAACAAGAAATTATAAGGGATCAACAAGAATAAAGAATACATTGTCTGAAATAAAAAATATTATACAGAGTCCTAAAAACAGAATGGAAGATCGCAAGAACCAAGTCAAAGATTTGGAACTTAAAGAGCCAGAAGACACTCCTCCACAGAAGCTAGAAGGCAAGAGAATCCAGAAAATTGAAGATAATGTAAGAAACCTCTGGGACAACTTCAAACGAACCAAAATCAGAATTATGGGGGTCCCAGAAGATGAGAGAGAGCAAGATATCAAAAACATACTGAAAGAAACAGTGACAGAAAACTTCCCCTACCTGGGGAAAGAATTAGACTTACAAGTCCAGGAAGCGCACAGAACTCCAAACAAAAGGAATCCAAAGAGGACCACACCAAGACACATCATAATTAAAATTCCAAGAGCAAAAGACAAAGAGAGAATATTAAAAGCAGCAAGAGCAAAGCAGGTAGTTACCTATAAAGGAGCACCTATACGAATGTCAGCTGATTTCTCAACAGAAACCATGCAGGCCAGATGGGAATAGCAAGAAATATTCAAGGTGATGAATAGTAAGAACCTATAGCCAAAGATAATCTACCCAGCAAAGCTATCTATCACTCAGAATCGAAGGTCAGATAAAGAGCTTCACTAATAACAGAAAAAAGCTAAAGGAGTTCATCACCACCAAACCAGAATTATATGAATTGCTGAAGGGGGTTCTTTCAGAAGAGAAAGTAAATAAAGATAAACATTATAAACAACAAATATGTAACTATCAACAAGTGAATCTAAAAACCAAGGAAATTAAAAAAAAAAATCAGGAACAATATTAACTGTTGAATATAATAGAATCAGAGGTATGGAAGGGGAGTGAACTGACAATTCTTAGGGAAAAGGGGAGAGGGGGGTGCGGGAAGAGACTGAACATAAACGGTGCACCTATGGATGAGGACAATGGGGGATGGGGAAAAGGCAGAGGGTGGGGTGGGAACCTGGTGGAGGGGAGCAACGGGGAGGGGAGGGAGAGGGGGGGAGAGGAAAATTTGTAATAATATGAACAATAAAGATTTATTTTTTTTTAAATATATTTTATTGATTTTTCACAGAGAGGAAGAGAGAGGGATAGAGAGTTAGAAACATCAATGAGAGAGAATCATCGATCAGCTGCCTCTTGCGCACCCCCTACCGGGAATGTGCCCACAACGAAGGTACATGCCCTTGTCCGGAATCGAACCCGGGACCTTTCAGTCCACAGGCTGACGCTCTATCCACTGAGCCGAACCGGTCCAGGCGAAGATTTATTTTTTTTAAAAATGAGAAACAACAGTTCCTAAGTTTTTGGGTGTGGTATTGTTTTGTGTGGGTTTTTTTCATTCAAAATGAAAAGAGCTTTAAGTTTCGTGGATAAAATAAGTATATATTCTGATATATTCTGTTTTATTACACATTAAAATGTCTGTGAGGATTTGAGTAACTGTAACTGGATTTGAGTGACTCTACTCAAAGCCTGAGACACTTTATCGCCCGAACTCTCACTCCAGCTCCTACGAGGCCCCACAGGACTGGCCTCGCCTCCTGCTGTTCACACACCCTTCCCTCTGCCTGCCCGAGGCCCCTCCGCATCCCTGAAAATGCCACACACGCTGGTGCCCTGAGGTCATACTCCGCTCCTTCTGCCAGCAATACTCCTTGCCCCGAGTTCCTGCTCTGCGTAAATCTCTGTAAACGCCCCCTCCCTGACCACGGTAGCTGGATCTGAAGAACATGCCTTCTTCCTAACTTCCTAGCCTCTTCTCTGTTTTCTTTTTTCTCCATAACAGCTTTTGCCATCTAATCATCGGTATTTTTTACTTATTTATCTAGCGGCATTAGAATAAATATTTTTATCTGTTTTACTCACAGTTATAGTCCCGCTATCTAGAATAGCATCTGACAATTAGAAGGTGGATAATACGTTTGGAACACAGAATTCAGCAAACATATGCCTTTTACAAGTGAATAGGCAGAGCAATGCAAATTTTTTAACATCTCCAAAAAAATCAAGCAAGTTCTCCTAATCATAGCACTTTCTACTTCTTTAAACTTGAATTCTCCCCACAAACTGAATACTGTTCGTTGGAAATAGCCAAGCTTCAAAGCTACTCTACAAGTGGTTTAAAATCAGGTCCCTTTTACCATTGCTAAATATTTATGCAATTGCTTTGAAATGACACATCAATATATAAAAAAATGTTTCTCAAGCGTTATCTGTGTGCCCAGCACTGTGGTTTAAAACATCCGTCCTTGAGGAAACAAGGCTTGTTTTTCAGAGAGAATCTAATTCCTCGCATAACCCCAAAACTACCCATATTTTGCTTAAAATAAATGGAAGTGTAAAATGCCATCTATAATAATAAAAGCATAACATGCTAATTAGACCAGACAGCCAAATGACCTTCCAAAGCTGCGGTGGCAGGGGCTGAGGCAGAGGCGATCAGGCAGGCAGGCAAGCAGTTAGGAGTCAGAGGTCCCGGATTGTGCAAGGAATGTCCAGCTGCTGGGATCGGGCCTAAACCGACAGTCGGACATCCCCCAAGGGGTCCCAGACTGTGAGAAGGTGCAGGCCAGGCTGCGGGACACCTCACCCTGTACCAGGCCTCTTGTGAAAACATAAGCAGCTGTAGAAAGATGACAAATACAGCCCAGTAATTACAGACTAAAACTTCATTTTTTTTTTTTTTTATTAAAACAAGGCTAAAATAACTTTTACTTGTGCTTCAAATTTTTTAACAAGGTATTTTTATTTCCTCCACCTGCCTTCAACAGGATGGTTACAATATTATTCAATGAGGCACTAGGGAGTGTCTCACTAGCTACAAAACCTGTCTTGGTTACAAAACCTGGTCTTTTCCTTTGCACTAATGGCTGCCAAAAGGGAAAGGTTTTGAAACATGTCAAAAACTTCCCCGCCAAGATGGACTCATTGTAATACCACTTAGCACTTACATGATTCATTTTACAGTTACCTTGTTTTATGCAAGTATCAGGTTCCATTTTTTGTAAGCTAGAAACCATATCTGCACATAAAGTAAATATTGGTTGACAAAATAAAAGCTAATTATCACTTCAAATGTGGTATCAGAAGACAAGATAAAATTTAGGATGCAGGTCCTAACATAGAAGGATTTACAAAACAAATTTACAAATGTTATTGTTTCAAGAACTATTTACAATGTGTCTGACTTGACAGATACATTTCCTTAAAATATTTTATTTTTTTAATTAAAATTTTCTTCCTTAGAAAACCTCAAAAACCCTCATTATTCAATTGAGACTGACCTTTCAGTTTACAACAGGTATTAATTCACGTCTAGCCATTTGATTTGGGAAGAAATAGAGAAAAGCAAGCTCACATGTTCAAGGATGCCCCTAAAAAGTATGCAGAAATAGTTATAGCTATGTTTTCCCTAAAATAAGCACAACTTCAAATTATTAAATGAGTTACAGCAGTGTAATGTAAGCTAAGGCATTTACTTTCTTCTAGATTCTTCCTCTAAGACTCCTAATTCAGACAGAGGCCATTTTTTCAGACAGACAGACAAATCTCTCTTACACTAAATCTTAGGTAAGATTTAGGTTTCTAGTAGTGATAATTGTGTTCAATGTACTTTTAAAAAATGTCTCTTTTCCAAACCATGTAACTGGCCACAAAAATAGTTCTGGGTGAGGCTTACTAATTATTAATGAATTTATGAAATTCCAAAGCCAGGCTGAAGGATTCCACCTGTGCACAAATTCGTGCCCCGGGCCTCTGGTAAAAAATAAATTTCCTTGTAAGCAGCTAAGCTTCCTCAAAAGTGTTGAAACACAGACTCAGCTTTCAGTGCAATCTTATGTTAGTTCATACAAATAGACACACTTAACTAAGGCTTGGAATGAAATTACCTCAGCCACTTCACCAGAATGCAGCTATGCATTTGCAAAGTTGTTCTGAAGCTGCTCCTAACTAAAGCACATGGAGGAGAGACCCTTGCGAAGTAAGCATAGTGTGTAAAATGCTTGTTTCATATTGGTCCCCAAGTTTTAAAATGTTACACCTCATGGTTATTTCTTCTGCAATAATATCAAGGGATGTCAACACAGACAAACGGAGAGACCAATGCCATGGACTTTAGGAAGCCTATCTGCAGAAGCTTGAGTTACTAATTGAGGCTGTTAGGAAAGTAAGACGAGTTAAGATTCTGGCAAAGTGCTTAGCACAATGGCTTGGCTCCTAGTAAACATTCAATAATAATTTAACAAGTGTGCATTAGCATTCTACTACAGCAGTCTACAACTAACCACAAATTCCTTTTCAGGCCCTCCTGCTACGGACTGTGCAAATAGCAAGTGAAAGCACAAAACACCCTTTTGAAACTACCCATCTTGAAGGCCAAAAAGGCACCACCACGAACTGCTTTCAAAAATCTGTCTTGAGCTGCCATGAGCACAAGTTCACAGCCTGACTAAAAAGCTGGGAAACTGGTTAGCAGTCTAATTAGGATCAGTGCCAGGCAAATCAGGGACAGTTAAAGGTCAAAGGCGTCCAAGCCCGGAGCGGATTGTCTCCACCGACTGGGTCCCCGCCTCCGCCTCCGCCGGAGCAGGGGGCTGACCCCAAGGCGGGCGCGGCCCCAGTGCCGGCCAGGACGCGCCGGTGAGCCACCGCCCGAAGGGATTTCCTCCAGGAATAAAGACGCTTCCATGTTGGATCCAGGGACTCGCCAGCCAGCGACCTCGGATCTCCGGAGTCCTCGCCCTCCCACCCACGCCCCAGCCCGGAGCGCCGCCCTCCGCCCCGGCACCTCCGGCCGCGCGCCCGCGGGGAAGAGCCCAGTCCGGGCGCGCGGCCCGCGCAAGGGGCCACCTCTCCGCTCCCCCCTCCTCTCCGCGCCCCGCTCCCCCTCCACCCCCAGGCTCCCCACCTCCGGCGCCGGCCCCCGCGCTCCCCGCCCCCCGGCCCGCGCGGCCCGGGCAGGATACTGAACACCGTCCGCTCCCAGGGCTCCAGCATGTAGAGCGCCGTCACCAGCAGGTACTGGTAGTAGAACCAGGACATCTGCTTCCAGGCCCGCGCCAGCGCCATGCCCGCGGTGTGCCTTCCCGCTGCGAGCCCGCGTCCGTCTGTCCCGCAGGCCCGGCCCGTGCCCTGAAGCCCGGCCCCGAGGCCCGCCCGCCACCCCGCGCCCATTGGCCTGCGCCGCCGCGTCACCCGTGGGCACGCCCAGCCCCGCGCGCCCGCCGGCCCGGCCCCGCCCGGCAGCGACCATTGGCCCCGCGTCCGGCCCGCGCCCGCGCCCGCGCCCGCGCCGCCGGAGGACGGTCCCGGAGGGCGCCCCTGCGCCCCGCCCGCCCCGGGGAGCTGCTGGTGGGCGGGGCGTGAGTGCAGTCCGGGGGGCACCCGGTCCTGCCCCGAACGCTCCCCTAGAAAGTATTTGTGGGATATCTGCGATGCCTCCGGCATCCTGCTGGGAGGAGAGCTACGGGGTGAGCTGGAACGCTTTGGGTTCTATCTTCATGCATTTTACGATCTAGCGGGGGAGGCGGCTGCTGATGACACAAATGCAACCAAAGCTGGGGTTGCAGAGGCAGAGAAGAGGGTGTTCAGTGAGGGTCGGGGGTGGGGGGGGGGGGGGGCCCGAATGTCACCCAGTCAGGAAGGCCCGGAAAGGCCCCTCTGAAGGGATGCACACCTTGCCTCCTTCCTCTCCTGCGCCCTCCTCGGTGGCGCGTGCGCCCGCTCATGCGCCAAGACACAAAAACACCCCCCCACACACCAACATGCCAATGCACTCCTTAACCCAAGGACAAAATAAATTATCATAATATGTCTGTGGGCCCACCTCCCCTAGTGGCTACAGGTATCATGTAGGTCAGGCCTGGGGAAGGATGCTGGTCTGGCGGGTTCTGCAGGCGACAGCTGCCTATCTGTCTGTGGGCTGATAACGCCTAGAGATGCTTTTTTGAGTGTTCAGGTTTTCCCACTGGCAAATAGGCCAGCAACATTGCACTCAACTTCAGGCATGGGATGCGTGGTTAGCGTGTGAAATGACCTAACTAAATGGCCTGCTGTTTAAATGGTAAAAGGTTCTAGGTTAAATAGCCTAAACTCTAAAACTGCCAAGGTTGATAATGTTTTATTTATTCAAGTAGAAATATCAAGCACTGTACATTGTGCATTGCTAAATAATGGGGTTGAGCCTTAGTCGGTTTGGCTCAGGATACAGAGCGTTGGCCTGCAGACCAAAAGGACCCGAATTCGATTCCCATCAAGGGCACGTACCTGGGTTGCGGACTCCTCCCTGCCAGGGCCCTGTGTAGGAGGCAACGAATCGATGTGTTTCTCTCACATGTATCTCTCACATCGAAGTTTCTCTCTGTCTTTTCCTCTCTTCCACTCTTTCTAAAAGATCAATGGAAAAATATCCTCGGATGAGGACTAAAAAAATAAATTAAATTAAAAAAACACACAACGGGTTTGGAAAGCCAGATAGAGTAAGACCTGCCTTCTACTAGGAAAGAGAGGCAAGTTATCTAATTACAGTGAGATGTGGTAAAGGGTATTGTTCTGTTATATGCGGGATGCCACCATAGCCCAGAGAAAATCAGATTGGGATTGTAAATGGTTTCTGGGAAATGGTGCTTAAATTGAATAGTGAAGGGAAAGTAGAAATGGCAGAATGAATGGCGTTGGGGAGGGAGGAGACAGGGAGACAGATATTTCAAGTCCTGCATATGGAGGCCTGGTGTGTTTCAAGGACTGAAGGAACTTCCTCATTTATGGCTAAAGCAAAAAGAATGTGCAGCAGGAGCAAGAAATGGGGCTGGGTAGTAAATAGAGACCATAGCCTGAAGGACCTAGTGTGAGGAGCCAAAGGATTTTTAACTGGATGTCCAAAAGTTCAAACAGCCAATGGCTCAATAAGATTTGCTTTCTGGACAAGATTTCAGTAGCCTGGAGGCTGCTGAGGAAGAGAGGGTCCCATAGTAGAACCTGTAAATGGGGCATGTGTAACCCACACTCACTAGGGTCCTTCTTACGTTGAGATCCAACTACGCTTGGTCCTCCCACATCTGAATCTTATTGTGTTGGGCTTCCCTCTACTCCGTTCAGATCTATGTGGACGCAGGCTTTATTTTATTTTTTTTGGTATGAAACGTTTCACGAATTTACATGTCATCCTTATGCAGGGTCCATGCTAATCTTTCTCTGTATCGTTCCAATTTTAGCACATGTGCTGCCGAAGCGAGCACAAGCTCTGTTCCTTTAGATTCAAGAACTCCAAGTACCTCCCTAGCCGGTTTGGCTCACTGAATAGAGCGTTGGCCTGCGGACTGAAGGGTCCCAGGTTCAATTCCGGCCAAGGGCATATGCCAGGGTTGCGGGTTCGATCCCCAGTTTGGGGTATGCAGGAGACAGCCGATCAATGATTCTCTCTCTTTATTGATGTTTCTATCCCTTTCTCCCTCTCCCTTCCTCCAATATATGAACTCCAAGTACCTCAGCACTTGGTGATACTGAGGTAACTTTACCCAAGATTGGAAGCATCACCCATAACTCCCCTGCCCTCACTGTGTGCCCATTCCTAGCACACAGTCCTCCCTACCGTACAAAGCCCCCGTCCACAGCAGCCCTACTGAGCCAGTCTGCACCCCTCAGCTGCCCTGGGATTCTAGAGAACAAAACCCATCTTGCTAGAGTTGCCAACTGACTAGAAATGGGGCAAAGAGGCTGAGATCTTGAATGGTGAACATATGCACAAGGAATCTAGGGGAAGACGCTTAGCTGAAAAGATATGAATTCTGTCAGGACAAGGCTGAGTCTGAGGGACATTTAAGTGGAGGCATCTAGGAGGCAGTTGGGCATACGATATGGATCTAGAATTTAGAAGACAAGTATAAAGAGAAGCTAAAGGCATGTGAATTTTCAGTAAGCCCCTGGTCGTTGAAGTCCTGGTTGCTGATGAGGTCACCCAGGGAGAGCATGCAGAGTGAGAAGGACAAAGTACAGAATAAGCCCAGGACTCTGACATTTAAGGGAATGAGAGAGAGGTCAACGGGAGCCTCTGAAAGGCATGCAAAAGGAGCTGAGATTTGATAGCAAAGAGGAGGGATGTACAGGAGAAGCCAAGGGAGGAAGGGGCAGCCAGCAGAGCAGACAGCTCAGGGAGGACAAGCAAGAGGAGGAAAGGAAGTGCCAGTCTGTCTTATCCACGTGGGGCCCCAGCGATGGCTCACTCACTGGGGAGTGCCAAGGAGAAACCGATTGGACAGGGAGTGGGAAGTGAGGAAGAAGAGAGCTAATCAGACTTACTTGTGCAGGAAGCTTGCCTTTGAAGGAAAAGAGAGAGATAGGATGAAAGCAAGGGTTTGTTGGTTGCCAGATGAGAAAGATTTGAGCAAGTTTATGGGCTTAGGGTAAAGATATGGGTGAAGATATGGATGGTAGGATGGGGGAGCAGGCCTAAGGCCTTAATTTGACACCCCTCCAAGATATGAAAAGTCTGAATTCTACCTCTGCTCCCTATTGAAACCATTTACTAAGATTTTCCAAATTCCACAGAGTTTAATCACTCCTCTCCTTAGCCTCTCCGCAGCATTTGACACTGCTGAACATTTCCAGCTTCTAAAAATTCTGCAGAGTCTTGGTCTCCACCACTCCGCACTATCTCACCTCTCTTACAGCTCTCACTGCTCCCTTGATGGACCCTATTTTCTCCCCGTTCTCTAAAGACGTGCTCACCACTCTTTCTCCATCCATGTCTGCTCCCTCGGTTGTCTCATCCTTTCCTTTGAATCTCTAATGTCACTCAAGTGTTTATTCTAACCACTGGCAGAATATATCAGCATAGTTAAAATAATAATAAAGGCTATTATTATCATAATTATCTAGACCTTCCCACTATTTAAATTTCATAGTGCTTTCGTCCATTATCTCATTTCCTCAGAAAGAGCTAGAACAACTTTACTTAATAACTATGGATACAGCCGAAACTGGTTTGGTTCAATGGATAGAGTGTTGGCCTGCGGACTGAAAGGTCCCGGGTTCAATTCTGGTCAAGGGCATGTACATTGGTTGCGGGCACATCCCCAGTGGGGGGGGGGGGGGAGACGGGTGCAAGAGGCAGTTGGTTGATGTCATCAACGTCTCTAACTCTCTATCCCTCTCAATTCCTCTCTGTGTAAAATCAATAAAATTTTTTTAAATAAAATAAAATAACTGGACACAAGTTCAGAGACATATTTGGCTCCACACTAATCTTCTACCCAAAACTCACTTTTCTTATCTCTGTTAATGGCAAACAGTACCTTGACCTTCAAGCCACAAACCTTGTATCAAGGGAAGGGCAGGTAAATAGAAGGCAGTCAGGCCTTCAGGATGTCATTGCAAAAACAAAAACAAAAAATGCTTTGGATCATTTCTGTCCTATGAATTGTCATGATTCAAGCTTTGCCTTCTGTCTCATTTTTCTGTATTTGGCATCTAATCATCTTACCTAATAAAAGAGAAACATGCAAATTAACCATCACTCTGCTATGCCCACATCCAATCAGAGTGGGCATGCAAATTAACCCAACAAAGATTGGGGTTAATGTGCATATGCAGGCACAGAGCAGCCAGGAGGGACGTGAAGCTATGAGAGGAAGTGGGGCAGTGGAGGGATTTACTAGAGCAGTGCTCCAGACATAAACAAGGACTTGCCAGCTCCTGGGCAGGCCAGGAGCAGGGACATGCCAGCTCCTCGGTGGCTGGGAGTGAGGCCAGGGGAAGGAAGACATATTCTTGCATGAATACCGTGCAATGAGCATCTCGTCCTAGTTAATAAAAGGGTAATGTGCAAATTAACTGTCACTCCATCACAAAGATGGTAGCACCCATATCCACAAGATGGCGGCGCCCAGTCCTCTCAGCCCCACCGGAGTACCCCAGGCCCAGCGGCATGCACGGGCTGATGGAACGCTTGCCTCGTGGCGACGAGGCAGGTGTTCTGCACCCAGCCACAGAGGGGCCCCTGGCCGCGCCAGGCACCATGGGCCTCCGGGCCATGGAGAGCCTCTGGGCAGCAGGCACTGAGCAGCCGGGTCCCACAGAGAATTCGTGCACAGGGCTACTAGTATTTACATAAACCATGAAAAGAGTATTAATAGTTGTCTTATACATGTTTAGTAAGCATAAGCAGTTGGACTATATAAAAACTCCAAAGAACAGGTATAACTATTATGACTAATATCATTAGCAAATAGGTTAAAACAATCAAATAAAATGGATTCTGAGTTCAGTATTTATCTATAGGATTCAGGCCTTACCTCGTTTCACTGGCTGCTGGTCCTCAAGGAATCTTTGCTATCTATCCCTCTCCCTTCCTCTCTGTAAAAAATCAATAAAATATATTTTTTTAAAATAAAAATAAATAAAATCTTTGTCTCCTGGGAACTTGCTATGAAAGGAAGCAGTTACCAAGT